GCTTAGCTTATTCTCCCACCCTACAACAAGATTGTTTAAGTTGATGTCTATGGTTCACCTCTGTTTTTATTTTTTAAAACTAATGCATGTTGTCTATGTTTAATAGAAGAACAACAGTGTTGTACCGCATCTTTTTTCACTCTACAACACATGACACACTACATTATTCTTATGTAGGCGTTAACAGACATGTATGTCTGGATTCAACGTATAATTTTCTATTTTGAATTTGTATGCTAGGCGGTCAGCAAACAATTAATACACGCAATATATATTGAATTAGGCCGATAAACCGCCCGATAAGAGCTAAACTGATACCAATCCGCCCGATATCTTATCGGGTGGCTAGCGGATTAATACATTTAAAAGCCGATAACCGTTAAGCCAAACCGTTAAGAGTAATTAACTGCCCAATCCGCCCGATAAGCAGCCCTACACACAGGTACACGAACCAGTATAAAACTTTGCGTCTCATTTATTCCGTCTTTGTTTAATATTCTTTACTGTTATGCTGCTCTAACCCAGTGTCTGCAGGAAAAAGAGTCGACTAATATCATAGTTGATTAAATAATTTTTTAAATTGGCACAATTTACCCCTCCCCTCTTGTATTTTACGTTTTTAATGGGCCCACAATATTTTAGGCAATTCAGAGCCCGTCGCCTAAATTCATGAAGATGGCGTGGATATTAGCACACGAAGAATTGAATATCGACTTGAATTCCTGTTTTATGGTCTTAAAACGCCAAAAAATAATGAACGGTCATGGAGAAGGGATGACTATTGTTCATTAAGTCGTTTCTGATGTTAGGCAATTCGGATCCTGTAGTCTAAATTCATGAAGATGGCGTGGGCATTAGCACGAGAAAAACTGAAAATTATCCTGAATTCCTATTTTACGACCCTAAAATGGTAAAAAAAGGGATGAACGTTCATGGCGAAGCGATGATTATTATTCATTAGGATTAGGAGAGAAGCTCATGCATGCTAACATCCAGACTAAATACGTAACTCTGCATTAATAGTACACGAAAAGCAGTCTCATAGGCAAGTGACGACACATCAAATGTAAGTTTTGGAGTGTGGTCTTAAATGATAGAGATATCTAGACATCTAACAGAAAGGCAATAAAGCAGTGAATGGGGAAGAACGAGAGATAGCCAGCAAGACAAATTCATATACTAAAAGGAAAAGAGCGAGAGATGTAAAGAAAAGATATAGGCCACTCTTCATAGTAAATATAATTCGTTTATCATACCAACTGCAAAGACATTGTGTAACGCAACTTGAACATATATATAATAGATGTGTTCAAGTTATACGCATAATTCTAGCCAAAGTTACTTACATAAGTTATGATGTACTTCGCTCTTGAATGTAAATGTAGGTTAAAACATTTATGTGCTTTTACATCGAACATTAATGTCCATGATCTAAGCATAAAATAAAGACAGAACGAGCTTCTGATTTGTTTATGCTGGCTCAAAGAAAAATGGCAAGTTTGGTTTAGCTCGTCAAGCAATTACAGAATTAAAATTGGCTTAGGAACCCAGTTATTGGATCGTAAATTCAGCACATCGCAAACCATAAACCTCAGTTGTGGAGTCAACTGAGGATTTGTCGACAGTTTCTTCAAACTGTCAAAGTAAACATCGATGTTGTCCCTTGAATCTTGGCTCTTATCAAGCAGCTTGCCAATGTTGTTGAATAACTGGCAAATGGCTTCAACATTCTCCTCTGACAGACAACATTTGTGATCGCTCATTAACAGTTCCTGTTAACAGAACCAACAAAGACAATCATTGGTAGAGTTCTTGACACTACTAACTTGATCGTTGCAAAAAACAAAATGATATGAGCGAAAGGAAGCAATTAATAACCTTAACAATGATACGAATAATGTTTTTAGTGACCATCCTAAGCTTAAAAAGCTCTCCAATAAGCCGTATATTGCCAAGATTTCGCAATTTGATCAACTTTTCTTTGTCCTTGCGTTCTGACTCCTGCTCCTGTGCTGTCATTTGCCTCGCCTCTTCTTGCAGATTGTCAGCACCTTCAAATGTCTTCTGACAATTATCCAATAGAACACGCCGGCATGTAATCTTTCTGCGACCAGATTCATCAGAAGGAAATGGAGGCAGCTTTTTATTGAGATCAAAAAACAGTTGGGCAAACATCGGGCAAAATGTTGGTTCTAGTACAGCCTTGTCAAATATCAAGGTAACAACACCCTGGAGTGAAGATAAAAACATGTTAAATCTCCGGGACTAACATGGAAAATATTGAACTGAAAAATAATCACCAATGAGAGATGTATTCTCTCGATACGAGAGGACAGACCTTTAGAATGTCTGCACTAGTTATCCCGGTAATTATCAATTGACTTTTTAGGAGATCAAACCTTTTCAGAGTCGGGTTGTTGAGTATACTGCAATAAATATTACTGCAGTTAGTATCAATGAGTTAGATAAATTCCATATCTTCAAATAACAACAACATACCCAGTATATTCTCATTCTTGGGGTCTGGGGAGGGTAGCGTGTACGCAAACCTTACCCCTACCCAGTGAAGGCACAGAAATTGTTTCCGATAGACCTTCGGCGTAGAAAAGTAAGGAGAAGAGAAAAAGAATAAGAAGGAGAAGCAGAGGGAGAGAAAGAAGGAGGAAAAAAAAGAAAGAGAGGGTAGAAAAGGAGGGGGGTGGAAGAACAGAGTAAGTAACACCAAAATAGTAATAACAAGAGAATACAATAACTGAAACATATCTTCAAATAACGCTGTAATAGAATTACCATTTCTCTAATAAATAAACTTGTGAACCAAGAACCTCACGGATCCATACTTATCTCTCTCGCTGTAACACACACACGCGCGTATGCACAAAGACTAATATACAGACCAAATAGGGATATCAATATTTTCTCTCTGCAATAATACAACAATAACAACAACAACGACCCAATAAAATCCCACTAGTGGGGTCTGAGCAGGGTAGTGTGTACGCAGACCTTAGCCCTACCCGAGGGAGTAGAGAGACTGTTTCCGAAAGACCCTCGACTCAAGAAGACGAAAAGAGACAATATCTCTGCAATAATAGAACACGCATAAAAAAGCCTCATGGACATGAGGCGACGCATCCAATAGACAGGAAGACAGAGAGGAACTGAACCATAATTTAAGCATATGTGTTTTGTGTTAAATGCATAACTATTACAGAGAAAAAGTTTTACCCCATCACAATCTTCAACACACGATCATCGTCAGAAAGATTGCTTCTTCGAGCTGCTGACGATGCCAGCTCAGCCTTGATTAGTGCAGGAGTAGGTCCTCCCTGATTCAAAAACAGAAATAAAAGTTTCTGAGATCAAGAAATGATATATAGCTTCATATCAGATAAAGAAATACGCCACTCGTCGTAGTTAAATATAATCAATTTATCATGAATAATTAAACAAGTGAGCAATACTGCATCCCTTACACCTAAGTCTGTTTTCGTACTAACTGCAAAGACATTGTATAACTCAACTACAGAACTACTGATGTTCCTAATCCACCACCACATTTTGGACAAGGCAGTAGCGAAAAACAATATAAATAATGGATGTGCTCCGGAAAAGATAGAAGAATCATAAAAATTAAGAATTACCCCTGGGTTGGGAGATACTGGAGTTCTTGCAAACTGTGGCTCGGAAAAACCAGTCTGAGACTGGACCTGCACCTACAGAAAAAAGAGACAACATCTCACAACATAAAGTGTGCACTGCAAGAATCTAATAGATTATACAAGAAACATTTTTCGATAAATGAAAAAATGGAGAAGAACAGCATATACTATCATCCCTTTTTTAACAGATACTCACGTTGGAATCTGCACAACCTCGATGGGCATTTTCACCAAACAGTAGAGGAAATTCTTGTTTGATTTCAAGCATATCATCGGAAATGTTAACCACCTAGGGAGGAACAATCAACCAAATGGAAAACAACAATAAAGAAACAAATTAGTGGCCGATCCAAAATTTCTTGAAACTAAAACATAGGTGTTGTTTTCTTGAAACTAAAACATAGGCGAGAGGCACGGGAATCTAAAGAAAAAAGGCAAATTTGAACACCCAATAATATGCACTACATTAGAGCGGATTACTGGAACAAATGACATCTAAAATGGAACAAAGGAAGCACAAGAGAGACTATTACCTTCCTCAGTTTCAGCAGTTGATCTCGAGTGTACCTAAAGCATTCACTGGAAAAGGACATGGTAAGATTTATCCTGTCAACTTCCTAGTAACTACAATTTATACTGAATTAGACTTAGCTACTAAGGGGTCGTTTGGTTCAAAACTGTTGGGAAAATATATCTATCCCGTCCAGAAATAATATCCACGGCAAATAATAATAACATAAAAGAGTAATAATAATATAAATCTTTTAACGGGGTAAAATATAATACCCGAGCGAAACAATATTAACACTATAATATTACAATTTAGTAGTGTCAAGAGACTACTACAACTTTAAAAGAAATAACACTATTTATTTTAAACACATCACTACAATATTATTCACACTCATTATTTATGACGCGTTAGTCGGTCTAATCTATTGATAGAGTCTTGTTTCTCACCAAAATCAATTAAAATTGATTTGGTGCCTATTTTGGGCATTTCCAAGATTGAAAAGTGGGTTCTTGCTACCTTTTTTTAATTTCTTTTTATTCAAATGGGTCACACAAATTACATTATTTTTTCTTTTGTTTTGCTTTTGCTTTTCTAAATTATTTTCTCTTTTTTTTTTCTTTATTCCTTTTTTTATTTAAATAGGTCCTACAAAAAGTAGGATATTCCATTATGTTAACTTATCCCACATTCTACATCGGATAAGTTATACCAAGATATATATATATA